CGTGGGACACACCAGAGGGGGCGGGACGGGGAGGAGGAGGAGGAGGGGCAGGGACTACCGGGGAAGGAGGGACCAGGAACAGAGGGGGAGTAACCGGGGGACCACGGTGGGGGAAGCGACGGTAGTAGGAGACGGACTCGTCAAAGGTGACGTCACGAGAGTGAAAGAAGCGGTGAGACGGCGGGTAGTAAAAGTGCCAGTCGGACGCGTCAAGGGGAAAACCGAGGAAGACGCGGGGAAGGGTGCGGGCAGTGAGCTTGTCCGTGCCGGAGGCACGGACGTGAGCAAGACAGCCCCAGACGTGGAACGCAGACGCGTCACCAGGAGACCCAGTCCAAAGACGGGTCGGCGAAACCTGCGGCTGCTGAGGGTGCGGCCACAGGTTAAGCTGGTGAGAAGCGTAGTGCACAGCGAACGGCCACAGAAAATGGGGTGCACCGGCATGGATCATGGAGGTGCGAGCCACCTCCATGACCAAACCGATGCGTCGCTCAGCGACCCCATTCTGCTGTGGGGAGTCCGGTAGGGTGAACGTCTGGGTGATGCCCTCCGCACGACAAAAGCGACCAAGGACACCTGAGGCAAACTCGCCACCACGGTCTGAGTGAAGACGCAAGACAGGGAGACCGCGGTGGACACGCGCAGAGACAAGCCAGGGGATGAGAGCGCCAGGCACGTCGGCCTTGCGCTCCAGGGGAAAGACTGTGGTGTAGCGAGTGAAGTCGTCGACGAGCACAAGGAAGTAGCGCTCTCGACGCGGCCCAGGGACAGGGGCGGGGCCCCATACGTCCAGGTGCAGGGTCTGCAACGGCGCGGCGGTAGGGGGAAACGAGGAGGAGTGAGGGGCACGGCGAAGCCGACCCTCGACACAAGGCGTGCAAGGTGGGGCTGGGGAGGAGGGAAACGCAGGGAGAGAACCTGGGAGACCAAGGACAAGACCGTGCTGGGACATGTGACGCAGACGCGGGAGCGCAGGGTGACCTAGGCGGTGGTGCCAAAGGAGGGTCGGGTGAGTGAGGGACCGACAGGAGTAGGCGGCAGCAACCTGGGTGAGCGCTCCAGCCGGGGGGGTCACGGTGTCCAGAGTGAACAGGCCGGACACCGGGTCCCGGGGGAATGTGGACAGGGGGGCACCAGTGGCGGCCTCGGTACAGACAGCATACCGCTCGTGACCAGGGAACGTAGTGGTGACGCCAAGGTCCTGGAGGCAGCCGACACCAACTAGGTTCCTGGAGAACGAGGGGATATGCAGACCTGTAAGAGAGCCCGAAGGAACCGCCGGACAGGGAAGGGTGGTGGAACTGCGGGCGACTACTGGACCGCCAGAGGGGTCAGCGAGAGAAACGGCAGCAGGGACGGGAAGCGGCGTCAGGGTGGTGGAGTCGCGGAAGAAACACCGAGAAGCGCCAGAGTCCAAGGTGAAGGAAAGCGAAGCAGAGGCGTCTGGCGACGGAACGACGGCGGAAGCACCAAGACTACACAAAGCAGAGGATCCTACGCCTGACGCAGCAGGGGAGGATAAGCTAGGCACACCTACACTAGGCAACAGTGAGTAATAAGCGGGAAGCACACTAGAGTCATCAGCATACATCACATGCAGAGCAGCAACAATGGCATCCATGTCCATATCAAAAATCTGAACCTTACGACTAAGCAAACTGTGCCAGTCCGGGAGGTCTGGCGTCGGGCCGAAGCGCTGACGAAAGAGGTCGTCCAGGCGACGAAAACAGCGGGGAGTGGAGTGACCGAGCTTACCGCAAACGAAGCCGCGGTGAGGACCGGTCTGGATCTGGTACCGCCAGAGCTACCACTCGACACACCACCACGCGCCCGGCCACCGCCAGCGCCGGGCCACCCGGGCAGGAGGACACTCGTCTGCCGCGGCTGCGACGGCTGCGGCGGCTGCTGCGACGGCTGCGACTGCGGCGACTGCTGCGGCTGCTGCAACTGCAGGGGCGGTGGCTCAGCTGGACTGGGCAGGGTCCCCTCGTCTGCTCCAGCACCAAACGACCCGACCCCACCACTACCCCCTCCCGCACCTCCGCCGCCGCCTCCGCCGCGCCCAACCTTGGGGCGGCGGCCCTTCCCCGAACGAAACTGCGCTGTAGCAGCAGTCTCAGCCACTGCGACAGAGCCGTCGGAGAAGGTACACTGGGCGGGGGCACAACCCTGAAAGATAGGGACAGGCACGACAACGCTCGCCTGGGCGATGGAGCGGTGACGGGTCTCTATGACAGTCAGGGTGTCTACGAAGTCAGTGAGGGTGAGGTCGGCAGGGTGAAGGCTAAGGAAGCGGTCGCGGGCGACAGCAAGGCGGTCAGGGAGGCGGGTGGCAAGTAGGTAGAGGGTAGAGGTAATGGGCGGCTGGTGGGCTCTAAGCTGTGCGTCAGTGCAGGCGGCGCGCCAGGTCTCCTCTATGGAGCGCAGGTGGGCAGCGAGGTCAGAGACAGTGTGGAAAGATGCAAGGTCAGGAAAGAGCATCGGGAGGATCAGGCGGCCCACCGAGGCAGCCGGAGGGGTGGAATAGCGCTTGATGACAGCATCTAAGCATGCCTGAGAAGTAGTGAGGGACCTAAAGCGAGGACGCTCGGACGGGGGGAGGGTGTTGCTAATGGCAAGCTGGGCGACAGCATCGCGAGAAAGCCAGACAGAGCGCGCACGGGCAGTGGCAGCAGTAGACTCACGCTCAGTGGGTGTGGGGTCAGCGGGCAGAAGAGCAGGGGGGTCTGGGCAGGGGAGCGTACCGTCAAGGTGTGCGGAAAGCGGTTCACCATCCTGCCGCTGGCCAGTGAGCTGGCGGCGGAGGTCGGCAAGCCACGCCTCAAACTCTAGGGGCTGACCTTCAGCGTCGAAGCGAAGCTCCGCCGCCATCAGGAACAGTCCAGTGCGGTGCAGGGCGGTGCAGTGCAGTGCAGTGCGGTACAGTGCGGTGCAGTGCGGTACAGTGCGGTGCAGTGCGGTGCAGCGCGGTGCAGTGTGGTGCAGTGCGGTGCAGTGCGCTGTAAGGCAGGACAGTGTGGTGCGTGGCGGTACGGTGCAGGGCAGTGCAGGGCGGGGTGGGGGGGGAACCGTACCAGTGAGGAGGACGGGGCCGGGGCAGCGGGGCCGGGCAGGTGCGACCGGGCCGGGCGAGGACGACGGGGCCGGGCGGGCGCGACGGGGCCGGGCGGGCGCGACGGGGCCGGGCTGGTGCGACAGGGCCGGGCCGGGGGGACGGGGCCGGTCGAGCGCGACAGGGCCTGGGAGGGGCGCGACGGGGCCTGGGAGGGGCGCGACGGGACCCAGGAGGGGCGCTACGGGGCCTGGGAGGGGCGCTACGGGGCCCAGGAGGGGCGCGACGGGGCCTGGGAGGGGCGCGACGGGACCCAGGAGGGGCGCTACGGGGCCCAGGAGGGGCGCTACGGGGCCCAGGAGGGGCGCGACGGGGCCTGGGAGGGGCGCGACGGGGCCCAGGAGGGGCGCTACGGGGCCTGGGAGGGGCGCGACGGGGCCCAGGAGGGGCGCTACGGGGCCTGGGAGGGGCGCGACGGTACCCAGGAGGGGCGCTACGGGGCCTGGGAGGAGCGCGACGGGGCCCAGGAGGGGCGCGACGGGGCCCAGGAGGGGCGCTACGGGGCCCAGGAGGGGCGCGACGGGGCCTGGGAGGGGCGCGACGGGGCCCAGGAGGGGCGCTACGGGGCCTGGGAGGGGCGCGACGGGGCCCAGGAGGGGCGCGACGGGGCCCAGGAGGGGCGCTACTGGGCCCAGGGAGGGGGCGCGACGGGTCCTAGGAAGGGGCGCGACGGGGCTAGGGGGGATCGCGACGGGGCTAGGGGGGGGCGAGCGGAAGCGGTAGGTGGGGGGGGGGGATCCTACCTACGCGTGATACCATATCAAAATTGAAGAAGTGAGTGATTACTAGTGAGAGAGTACAGGAAGATATACCTACGAATTGTACCCTCTAAGAAGTGACCCTATACAGTCTGTACAAACATAACGACTACACATGTTTGACACTAGCTCCCTGTTTTTTCAGGCCTTGCAAAAAAAAAAAACGCTGATCAATCAGGGTGTTGTAAAAAAATTGCACTGAATAAACAGGGTCAACTACTGAAAACACGCTGTTCGAATACATGCCATTATTTGTCACAGGTTCCTGATCACAGTCTTGTCAGTGTCAAGTTGGCGTGACTGATGGGGGGTGGAAGGGGAAATCACGGATATCACTGGTGGGGGGGTTGGGGCTTGGAATCCGCTATTAGAGCATGTTCCTACGAGCCTCTTCCCAGGGAGCCTCTTTCCAGACTTGCGAGCTACAGTGTCGCGAATTCTGACGTGAAATGTTTCAGTGCTGTTTCGCAAGTGCAACGCCAGGTTGGCAATGCCCAGATTCAGGGGCGTATTTCAAAGCCTTTGTTCAGGTGAACATCGTTTCCGGCACCCGCGAATTCGTATAGTAAATTTTCGGCGCGAGCAGTTTTTTTGCGATTGAGAGCGGCAGAACGCAAATAAGAAATGGGAATGTGGAAAAGGGGACACGGGAACACGCTCTAAAGGTCACGCGTGAGACTGGGAAGAGGCTCGCAGGAACACGCTCTTACACATATCAGGATCGGTCCCCAATAGGACGCTGGAAAAACAGGCCTCGCTACACTAGTCGCGCTGATCGATCAGAGTTCACTTCTAAAAAAGCGCTGAAATTTCAGGCCCGTATAAAAAAAAATCCCTGTCTCATCAGGGTTACCTCCCAAAAAAACCCTGATTTTACCCTGAATCAGGGTAAAAAGCCTGCAATCTGAGGCCCTGTGCTGCTGACTCAAACGAGGTTAGGCGGTGGGCAATGGCATCAGCTGGAAATGCCCGTGTAACAAGATGTGCACTTGTACCGTACCTAGAGCAGGTGAGTGGATGTGGTATCATGATACAATGCAAAGTGGAATGGTTAGCTGGCAAAGTGTGCCACTCCACCAATGCCTCCCTGTTCACCATGCCATAGAGTTGCTTTAAGTGGAATTTTATTGCCAGCTCAACTCAGGTTACAATGGCATACAAATACACTCCAACCAACACTACAATACACGAGCACTGCAAGCTCTATAAAGCCAACAAACCCAGCTTCTACCTACAAACTTGGCAGCCCTAATTAGCGAATATCAGAACCTACGGGTACACTACCTGATCATCTACAGCTACACTCGCATCTACAATTTTAGCGCATTCTACTACAGTTATGCCCTCAGGGAAGAGCTATCAGAGCCCCTAGCGGTTGCAGCCTATAGCGAGTAGATGCATCAGAAGATTAGCGCAGCCGGGCACAGCCAGCAGCAGCAGGATGTGTGCTGCTGCATGGCTTGGCACGGCGTAGCATAACACTCTAGCGGTGGGAAAAGGAAGGGCTGTCTTTGTACCTTTCTCTCTCTGTCCTGAGCTGGCATATTTGTTGGAGTGAACCGCATATCAGCGACCTCGAGAAAGCTGTGTTGGAGTGAGTGGAGCAGTTGACTGAGTGAGTGAGCCGGTGAGTGAGTTGAGCAGTTGCGGGGTGAGGCGAGGAGATGAAAGGAGGTTGGGGACGGTGGTGGGTGGTTGCATTAGACCCCATGATGCTGTATGTGAGATGATTACTGAATCATTCAAAATTGCCCCTGCGGAATGAGTGAACTGCGGCGCATCGACGCATGGAGAGGAGGATGGAGAGCGGGTGGGCTCAGGCGGAGGGAGGGAGGGGCGGCGTGCAAGGAAGCGTCACGAGCACGCCAGGAGGGCGCCGGGAACGGTACCAGTAACACCAGCTGGTAGGGCACGAGGGGCGGCGATTGCAGCAGCGCCAGCAGCAGGAGCAGCAAGAGCAGGAGGGGCGGTAGCTGCAGCAGCAGCAGCAGTAGGTGCGTGAGGTGCAGCATGAGAGGCAGTAGCGAGCAGCGAGGGCTGTCCGTTTGCCCTGGCCGCCATGGCTTCCCTCTCCACCGCCTTCTTGTGGCACCTGAAAGGCACCAGAAAGATGGTGTCAGAATATAGGGCGTCAGACAATAGGGCACCAGGTAATCGAGCATCAGAAAAAGGCACGAAGACTCGCCGCCTGCCCTGACAGGTCTTGCCACGTGGCCTCACCTGGACTTGCCGTGTGTCCGCAGCGTGCTCCGCTGCAGGTCCACGGCGCCGTCGCGTGTGAACGGCGTGGGCTCGTCTGCGCACCACCGCAGGCACAGCGCGCACCGCATCGCCTGCCTCCCGTCTGCGCGCACGTGCAGCTCCGCCCAGGGGAACGCGGCTGCGGGGGAGAGGGCGGAGGAGAGAGGGCGGGGAAACGACGGCGGAAGGGGGGGAAAACGACGGAGGAGAGGGGCGGAAAGGGCACAGAAAGAGAAAAAGAAGAGAGAAAGGAGAAAGGGGAAGGATGGTGAGCCCTAGTGCCAACGGGGTGTTAGCACGGTGAACGCCAAATGGCGCAACTGGAGCACGACTCAGCGCATTGAGAACATGAGGTATGCGGGAAATAACGTGACACTCTGAATCTATTTCCGCTGCCATTTGCATGTCGCTTGCGCGGCAGCACACGTCACATGGCAGCACACTTGTCCCCCGCCGCACGTCATTCCACTTACGACGCCATTTCTCCGGCCGCCAGCAGTGCTTTGGCTTCTTGTTCGGGGACCCGCCGCCCGCCTTCTCGCCGCATCCCTTCTCTGCGCACGCCGACGCCAGAGAAATCTCGCCGTCCAGTGCGCTCAGATCCCGCTTGCCGCATCTCACGGGCTCGCTGCTGAACAGCTGGAGCGCATCAGACGGCTGTGATCCATTCACAGCGGCAGAGGCTCCGGACGGTCCGATGGTGCTCGCCTCTGCGAAATTCAACGATAAGCCTCGCACGACGGGCCTTTTCTCGCCGACATTTCGCGACGTCGCCATTCTGACCTGCAACGCGGTGGGCAGTGTGAGGCACGACCGCGAGACGGGGAATGCTAACGTGTCTTGCAGGGGAGCGGGGAAGAGGGAGAGGCGGAGGGCGCAGTCTGCCTCGCGCTTGGCGGCACACTCGTACCCCGGAGAGATGGGGGAGACGCGCTGGGAGGGCGGCGGGGTGGGGGACGCGTCGACCAGGGGCGGAGCGAGCGAGAGGCGGAGGGAGCATAGGCCATCCTCCTTATAATTCTCCTCTTTATCCGCTTTGTGATCGAGGCTCGAATTGGCGGAAGAAGAGGAGGACGGGCACGCCTTGTGCACGTGGTGACGGGGCGATGGGCGATCGGCCGGGAGAGGCGAGGGAAGGTCCGCTGTGAGAAATGGAGGATGACCCGCTGGGAGGGGTGAGGGAAGGTCAGCTGCCGCTGTTGACGGCGACGGGCTGATGTGCCTCAGAGGAGAGAATTGCCGCGACGGCGCCACCAGGTGGAATGCCGACCGTCCATTGCCGCCGATTCGCAGCGGATGGCTCGAGATGACGCTAGCTCCTGTCCCGCTAATTGCTGCCCCGCTATTGGATGTACCGCAAACGCCCGCTCCGCTATTTCCTGTTGTGTTGTCTGCCCCGCTGTTGTCTGCCTCGTTACCATCTACAGCGGAGGTTGCGGAGCTAGAGGGCGAGTGGCGCGGAAAGGAAAGCCCCTTACCCGCAGGACTAGATATTAGGTCCAACCCGAAGGCGGGAAGATTGTCGTCCGTGTCCTCCATACCGGTAGTACTTAGGAGAACTAATTTCGGCTACCCAGGGCCCAGGCGATGAGTGCAGGTAAACGAGGAGTGGTTGAGAACTACGACAGTTGAGTCTAAGGGGCCGGCTTTGCAGCCAGCAGTTGGAGGAGGAACTCCACCTCAAGGGTCCTAAATTGCTTTATCGCAGTCGTCAGCTGGGACTCGAAGACCCAAGGGTTGAACCGCCTGCGCTCGCGTATGGTTCGGCCCTCTGCTAGCCCTTGCTTTCGGTCCTGGAGGTCGACTCGCGGCGCAGACGAGGCGACCAGCTGTGTGTTAGGGGCCAACTTGCGGCGGAAAGGAGGAAAGAGCTAGTTGAGGCGTAATTCTAGCTTTGCTGAGGCGATTTGCCCGCAGTTGCCGCAGCAGCAGGGGTTGGGAGGGAGTGATGGGGGTGTGGGAAGGAAACGAGGCGAGGGAGAGGGAGGAGGAGGGGCGCAAAATGTAAAAATGTGCGCCCCGAGGCGCGCCTACAGATCACTGTGCAACGCACCCTCCTGCTTGCCCCGCGCTTGCTGGCCCCGGACTTGGGGTCACAGCTGAACATGCGAGGCGCAGGTGATGTTCACGACACTACACCATTCGTCAGTGCGGTTCTCTTGGCGTGCGAAGTGCTTCATCATCCCCAGTTCTCCTAGCGAATTTTCGTTTGCGAAGAAAGCGAAAGGAGGGGCTAAGTAGCCCCGATCAATGCTGATCTGGCAGGGCAATCCCACTCATGGACCCTCGACTGCACACCTTCGTGAATTTATCGCGTCGCCACGAACGCGGAGGCTCTCGAGAGCGGTTCGAGAGTTTCTGCCACGTGGAGGGAGCAACTTGCAACCAACGGAACCCCGCCAGCACGTCAATGCTCTGACAAATGACTGACACACCGAGCAGACCACATCAATTCGCGCTTATAGCACATTCGCTAATCGTACGAGCATCTACACTCCTCTGTTCCAACTTTTCGTTTCACTTCGTGTCTGTAACTGATCCGCGTCGAAATACAGTGTGTTTCTAAATTCTTAACCTAGAAGTTGGCGGGAAAGCATGTCCTCGCACAAAGCACCACTGGCCCTAGGCTGATGAGAGCAAAACACGGCGATTTGTGTTGTCAGTAGGCTTGGGTGTGCAGAACCCGCTTTCGCAGATGAATTTATGTACAGGCTGTCGGCCATCGGGTCTGCGGATTTAGTACTCGAAACCCGTCGAGGATCCGATCTTTTTCCATTTGGACCAGTATACGAGACCACAAAAACACCATAGTAGGCTCTCATCTCTCATTATTCGTCATCACAAACTCATGCAGATGATTAATTCGTGGTTCCAGGGCGGTCCGAGCTTTAGAGATGAGCCCGTGTCGCTCATGGATAGCTGGCGCGCGTACGAGGCTCAGGGTGGCGGTCTAGACATGGAGAGTGGCGAGGGCTCGTCATCTTCGGTGCCTGGGGGTGGGGGATCTTCAGGAGCCGCAGGAGGTAGCGGGATTCCCGGACTTAGCTTTGACGCTTTCACGCCGTATTTTCAGAACGCGTCGGACTCCGTGAATGCGACATGGTCCAGGTGAGACAAACCACGGATTCTCGATTGGGAGACCGACGTAATCGCCGACCAAGGAGCTCGTGTCACACTGTCTTCTCCTTACGTGCTTCGCGACACATATGGCTCACGGATCTTCATCCATCCCTCCTCTTCACTTCCCTCCCTCCCTCCCTTGCCGTTTTTCTTACCCGATACCTCCAGTGTGTCGAAGAACGTGCAGGAGTTGCCAGGAAGCATCCAGAAGCAGGCGAGCGCGCTGCCGTCGCGGAAGGCGCTTATGTACTTCATGCTGGTGCTGGCGACGGGCGTGCTCTTCCTCTTCCTCGCCTTCTCCATGTTCCTCCCCGTCATCGTCCTCGCGCCCCAGAAGTTTGCCGTCTGCTTCACCATCGGCTGCCTGCTCGTCGTGGGCTCCTTCTTCGTGCTCAAAGGGCCCATGGTGCAGCTCAAAAACATGACCTCCACTGAGGTAAGCCACGTTCTTGCACGCCAACCAATGGAAAAGACATTGGATGGGTGCAGTGTATCAGGAGGAGATGCAAGCATCTAGAGGGGCAGAGATAATGGTTTAGAGAGTTCATCTTATTTCACATTTCTGGGTTTGCTGTTGGATCTGTCACTGTTTTCCTTTGCAGAGACTCCCATTTTCGCTGTTTCTCACTGGGAGCATGGTCAGCACAATATATTGCTCAATGGTTCTTCACTCCTATCTGCTTTCAGTTATATCATCTGGAGCTCAGGCAAGTATACTGACATCCTCTCTTGTTATGATACTCACCGTTTCACTTGTGTGTTCTACTGCATTGTTGGTGCCATTTTGATTTCCAGTTTCTCATACCTGAGCACATTTGAAGCGACTAAGTATTATCCTTGTCCATGACGTTTCATTGAATTTCAGGTCCTTGCACTTGTTTACTATGTCGTGTCTTTCTTCCCTGGCGGCACCACTGGCTTGAGGTTTCTCACATCCATGTTTACATCAGCTGCTTCTAGTCTAATGAGATAATCTACTCTACCAAACTAAGTATACATGCCTAGCGTAATTGAGTTTCTAGGTTGACCTCTCTGTATCTATTTGATTTTCCGAATTGGATGAGGGACTTGCCACGTGGTGACGCTTTGTGGTGAAAATCGTTCCTTTTCTTGCTGACTGCCTTGTCACGGAAGATCTGCGAAAGTTTCACGAGATGAAACGAGACCTGGTTTCCCGTCGCTCGTGCATTTATCCCTTCGCAGCGGCCTGATACCGCTGCGTGACATGACATCCACATCAATCCACTCCAATGCTCATCATCGCTCGCCCAGCAGCCATAACTGGTGGTGGTGATCAGTTTGACTCTGAATAGGTAGCAGTCCCAGTCTTAGCTTGTTCTCGAAACGCAGGTAGCTAATTTATTATCCAGCCGTGAGTCGAGTCGAGAAACGCTCATTTCGACGAAACACTCTCGCAGAAGCCACCCGCGAATAATGGCAGCCATGGGGTGTCAAGCAATGATGAAGGTGCGACAGCCCTGAATGATACGAGTCGCGGAAAAACATTCGCTTCAATGCGAGCCTCGGGCAGTGAACTGACTTGTTCCCTGAACGCCGTGCATGGGGTGTCCATTTCAACTATTAGAATTGACCATTAGAAGACCATCAGAAGACGATCGTCGGTCATTTCAACTACTCTTTTGAAGACATTGCGGTCGTCGTCCTGACTCTACCTTCTTCCCGCTTTCCCCCACCCGTTGCCTTCCCCAGTCATTCCTCGTCAGCACCACCCTCAAGAATGGCTGCCAGCCGTTTCACTCGCAAGCCGTCAGCCGGCCAGCATCAAATCCCCGTCGCAGCTCGCGTCTAGCAGTGAGAGCGGCGGCGAAGGTGGCTGATGACCCGGCGGCAAAGGCGCTTCAGGCGAAGTCGTTAGGCGAGCTGCGGGCGATGGCGAGGGAGAAGGGGCTGCGCGGCGACACCAAGGCGGAGCTGGTCATGCTGCTGCTGCAGTGAGTGCGCTGGTGAAGCTTCTAGTGCCACGAACGTGAAGCAGAGCCAAGGACTGAAAGCACATCAACCACGTGGACGAGCGCAGCTTTCGCGCCACTGAATGAACTGAAAGCGCAAACGACTCCATGCACATGTGTCGTCCCGTGCCCAGCATTGCCCTGGTTTCCAGGTGATTGCAATTCAGCTCTCACCGTCATGTAACCACCCCCTATGCCACCACCCCCTAACCGCCCGGCACGTGACCCCCCACCAGGGCCCAGCCGTCCAGAGCATCCCCCGTGCAGCCGTCCGAAGTGATCCCCCCAGCCGAACCCACACACAGACCGACTGCTGTAGCACCCGCTGCTAGCACCTCCAGCAGTGCGGGCGGGACTACGAGCGGCAAGGGCGGCAAGGGCGGGTTGGCGGAGGCGGCGAAGGCGCTGGAGGCGATGAGCACGGCGCAGCTGAGAGCCATGGCGCGGGAGAAGGGGCTGAGAGGCGACACTCGCGCCGAGCTCATCAAACTGCTCGTGTAAGGCGCCCTGCTGCGCTCTCATTCGCCAGGTCCATGCACGCCCGCTCGCTGTGTCCGCCTGCTCTTTTCCCCGGGTAGTATTTTCCTGATTGCGTCTCCCCTCTGCCCTCTGCCGCTCCCTTTCGCCGGTCTTACCCCTTTTGCCCGCCCCACCGTCTGCTCCCTCCCAGGGCCGCCCTGTCCCCATCCGCAGCCGCGCCAACCAAGCCTGCCACCAACCCTTCTGTCATGCCTCGGCCGCCTCCCCCCTCCGCCTCGCCTGCCGCTGCTGCAGCCGCCGCCGCCGGAAGCTCTAGTGATGGGAACAACGGCGCCAGCAGCAGCAGCAGCAACAGCAAGGGGTCGTCCCAGGTGTCAGAGGCCGAGGTCGTTCTGCCGCCCTTCGCCTCGGACATCCCCCCTGGTGGCATCGCCATCAGCCCAGTGCAGGTGAAGGAGAGGGGAAAGGGAGAGTGGAGTCAGGGAATAAGAGAGGGAGGGGAGAGAAAGCGGGCTACATGCATGGCTCCTCGTCTGGCGTTGTATTTTACTCAGCCTCTCACCCCTCAGCCTCTCACGTCCACTTGGCACCCCCTGTCGCCCCATCCTCCCATCGCCCTGAAGCAGCCAGCAGGCAAAGCGGCCAGTGGGCCATCATCAAGTGAGGCAAAGGCAGCAGCAGCAGAGCTGAAGCAGGGGCAGTTTGTGCGCTCCGTGCTGATAGGCGGCTTTGGCCTCGCCCTCGTGCCGCTCGTGCTGCCCCTTGCTCCCACCAACAGACTCGTCCCAGGGTCGCCTGCTGAACAGGTGGGTTGGTTCAAGGGCGGAATAGATTCCAGGGGCGTGTTACCGTTAACTTGTACAGTCACATATGAAGACATTGGACTTCAATGGTAGCTAACTGCAACACATGTGCTGCATACCCATAGTGCAGCAGCGGCCGTTGCTAAGGGAGACTCCTTCCCCTCACCCCTCTTACCATCAAGGGCATTGGCCTTTTCCCCCTCTTTACTGCTGATTGACACTGTAAATGATGTCAAGTTTTGCATGTTGCTTCCCTCTGTCCATCTATCCTCTTACCAGCTGGCAGCGCAGCTAGGGGAGGAGGCAACAGTGCTGCTCAACTCGCTGCTGGACACACAGGCCGCCACAGTGAACCAGCTGCAGGCGCTCATGCCGCTCATCTCGCCGGACCTTGACCCCACCACTCGGGCTGCTAGAGCTGCTCTCTTCTGCCAGAAGATCCCTGCGTCTGTCCGGTCGGAACAAGCAGACAAGTTCTGCAGGACTGTTGCTCAGATTGGCATTCGAGCAGCTCCCCAGTGATTGGCTATCAGAATAGAGGTGGTATTTTCGTTTGATAAAAAGAAGGAACTGGTTACCTTGGTTTGATAAAGCACCAACTAGAAGGGTGCGTGCGAGTGCAAGGCTAGGTGCTGTAACACCCTCTGTCCATTGGTTCCTTTGGTGACTGGCTTGAATAGTGGGCTGTGCAATGCTTTCTACAATGATAAATGGGGTGTCTCCACCTTGCTCAAGGCTAAATAACCCTGCTTATGGTTGGGTGATTATGGAGTTGTGTTGTGAATCTATGTACCATCTGATTGAGTGGTACCATTTATTCGGTGTAGGTGGGAGGGAGCAGGCATCTGGCATGCGGAGGGGCCAACGTGGCACATGCAGTTGGTTGCCGCCCTCCGTTCTGTCTGGGTGGATGTTGTTTGTGGCGCTGGAGGGGGTGGACCACGCACCGCGAATCTGAAGCATCGCCAGAAGCCACAGCGCATGTTAGGCACGTGGAGTAAGCTGACTGTAGACTTTCTTCCACCAATCCCCGCATCAAGGGCAAGCCACATCAACTGATGATGTCCTTGTGTGCCCCACAACTGAGGGTAAGCTTGGGAAACCACGCGACGCCCGTACGCCCTGCTCGCACCCAGGTTCTTACCTTTCAACCAATGCCATCGCAGGGCCGTGTGAGCCGTTCGCAATTTCCTTCGCGATTGCCGAGCCGAACCCAACCGACTTTGAGAAACCCCCGCGAGCGAACAAGACGAGTCACGAGACGCAGAAACCGTCGGCGCAGGTCCGACCTGCCTGCGCCGAGTCACCAGCTGCGTGTGCGCTAGCGATGGCAGGCGTGCGCTGGCGTACAGCAAAGCCCCGCAAGGCCTGTTCTCCCCTAGAGATCCCTCCCAGCAATGCAAAGGGAAACGTTGCGGAAGAGTTTCGTGCGCGCAGGGCTTTGCGGTGTGTGGCCCCCACCCCCAACCTCATAGGAAGCAAACCCAGCCTTTCTCCGCGTGAAAACGATGATCCCAAGACCCTTCCGTTCCCCCGGAGTCCCAACTGGGTCAAATCCCCCCCACCCCCCCTTTGCCAAAAATGCCGGCCACATCAACTCCGCTCGCCCTGCTCGCATTTCCCCCACACCACCCACCCACCCATCCACCAGACCAGGCCCAGTCTGCAGGGAGTGCGTGAGGCGTAGTCTTTTTTCTGTGGGCCGCAGTTCTCACATAGTTGCTCCTCCTAGACTCCTCCACACTGAACAGAACCAAAGTACCACACGCTTGTATCGTTCATTCAGACTTGGCAAGGTTTACCCGCTTTTGCTGCTTACCATCACCCTAGTAGATGGTGTAACGATTTACGGAAATTTCGCGCCAACTAGAGAACGTTGAGACCCTGACCGAAAGTTGAGGGCATGGAGTGCTCGGATGCGTTGAGATTATCAGTAGGAAGGAATCTAACTCTCGGACCCTCATGGCAAACGCATCCAGATGCCTCTGACTCAAGGTAGCTGCCTTCCCCTGGGCCTAACTTTGAATCTGTGAAGCATCATCTAGCCTGGTTTCAGCGGTGGCTATTTTAACCTTGTACATGTTATCTCTATTATTGATTTCAGTGGGAGAGGAGGGGGTCACGGCCGTCAAATAGAAAAAGATTTGGTGACAGGAAGAAAAAGGTGAGCACCAAGCACATCGCCCCTTGTTCGTGTCAGCGTCTGCCTTGAGATTTCATGTTACTGATTTTTTCGACGTTCGTTGGACTTCCAGGCTCCGAGAAGAAGCTGCGAAAGACGCGATGTGCACGAAAGCAACTCGCGAAAAGATGCGACGTGATCGCTTGAACGACAGGTTGGTCCTCGAACCTCTCCTCTCCGTTTTTCCGCATCGCCTTGAAGTTAACTGACGCAATGCCTTCTATGCTGCAGATTCCTCGAGTTGGGAAAGGAACTAGACCCCGGGTTGCCTCCCAAGACGGACAAGGCCGTGATTCTCAACGACACCGTGAAGCTGCTCGCGCGACTGAAAGCAGAGGCGATCGCGCTGACCGAAGGCAACCGGCAACTACGCGACCAGATCAAGGAACTCAAGGTAGTTTCTCCGCTGCTTCTCAGTCTACCCCGTCTGCTGTACCTTCCACAACTTCTGAGCATGTAAGGGCTGCAGATGGTGCTCCTCAGATTTGAAACTCAGCATTTCGCCCTAATGTGCTGTGCAGGTTGAGAAGTCAGAGCTACGCGAGGAGAAGTCGCGATTGAAGGCGGAGAAGGAGCAGCTGCAAGGGCAGCTGCAAGCCATGCCCGTGCCGGCCACCGGCTGCTTCACATCTCAAGCAGCAGCGACGGCGGCTGCAGCAGCGCTTCAAGCAGCAGCAGTGGCAGCATTTTCAAACCAAGCCACAGCCAAGCCAGCAGACTACACCCCCGGGCTTGCTGCTGCCCCACCTCCCCTGGAACCAGCCGACCAGAGCATGGGCATGTGGCAGTGGTTGCCGCCCATGGCTGCTGACATCTCCAAGGACCACATTCTCCGGCCTCCTGTTGCTTGAACGCATGCGTGCTCTGGGCGATTACAACCCCTGGCTGCATGCAGCGCTCACACGCGTGAGAGGAGCAATGCCACATGCACTGTTCAGTGACCCCCGTATGTTTGCACAAACCAAGTGCAACGCACGATGCATGACAAGCGTTGCTGATCAGGGTCAAACAGCTGTTTCGGAGGTATGGGCCTGCTTCCAGCAAAAATGAAGACACTTCTGATCAGGAGTGCAGTAAACCCTTCTGCCTGCAGTGCTCTCTGCAGTCTTCTCGTCAATGGCAGTGCAGACGATGGCACGGAGCCTGGAAAGGGCATTGGCTCTGTCTGATGCGCAAGACCTTTTTGTACATGAAACGTTTTATCCAGTAATACATGCTCCAGCCATGAGTAAGGCACAATGCTAAGATAAATTGGTATGAAAAACTGTACCTAGAGCTACTACTACTGGCTGTATTCCCAGAGCCTGATGTCACAGCAGACCAAACAAAGGTGTGGTCACACCGTATCATACCTGTTGGAAATACCTCAAAGGACTTAAGCGTTTCTGAAGTGTAACACTACACTCGAGGAAGACCGCAACGGGTGCGCGAGTCAACGGAGGTTACACGAGGGGGCGAACAAAGAACGCGAAGGGACTCGAAGGGTCGCAACTGGAGGTTGCGACTGACCGTTACAACAGCGCGGATGGTAACCGAAGCGACAATCGAGTCGCTGTGCGACTCGATAACCGTTCCTGCAACTGTATTCTACAACTGCTTTCTTATTTTCTATATATTGCTGCATGCTTGTTTCTTTAATCAATCACTTGTTCTCATACACTAGTACAAGGGTTCAACTGCCTCAAACATCCGCTGCACTACTCAAGTCTCACTCTACAACTGGGACTTAGTGTCAAACATGTGTATTTGTCATGTTTGTATAGACTGTATAGGGTCGCCTCTTAGAGAATACAATGTTGAGTGACCCGCTGGGGTTGCCCTTGAGATCCTCGGGAAAAGGGCCACAGGTGCAGAGCCTGGGGGGCTATGGGCGCACTAACCCGCTATTAACAAGCCCTTTTAACCCAGTGGTTAGTGGCTGGGTTTCTGACATGGTATCAGAGCCAAAGGTCTTGGGTTCAACTCCCAGTGCCAGCGCTGCAGAGGCGCTCGTGTCTTCCACCTATCCCAGCGGGGGGGGGGGTGTTGAGTGACCCGCTGGGGTTGCCCTTGAGATCCTCGGGAAAAGGGCCACAGGTGCAGAGCCTGGGGGGCTATGGGCGCACTAACCCGCTATTAACAAGCCCTTTTAACCCAGTGGTTAGTGGCTGGGTTTCTGACATACAACACTTAGGTATATCTGTGTGTACTCTCACTCTATCAATTATTCTCTTCTCAATTTTGTTATGGTATCACGCGTAGGTAGGATCCCCCCCCCACCTACCGCTTCCGCTCACCCCTCTAGCGCCCCTCCTGGGCCCCGTCGCACCCCTCTCAGGCCCCGTCGCGCCCCTCCTGGGCTCCGTAGCGCCCCTCCTGGGCCCCGTCGCGCCCCTCCTGGGCCCCGTAGCGCCCCTCCTGGACCCCGTTGCGCCCTTCCTGGGCCCTGTAGCGCCCCTCCTGGGCTCCGTAGCGCCCTTCCTGGGCCCCGTCGCGCCCCTCCTGGGCCCCGTAGTGCCCCTCCTAGGCCCCGTCGCGCCCTCCCTGGGCCCTGTAGCGCCCCTCCTGGGCCCCGTCGCGCCCCTCCCAGGCCCCGTCGCGCCCCTCCTAGGCCCCGTAGCGCCCCTCCTGGGCCCGTCGCGCCCTCCCAGGGCCCTATAGCGCTCCTCCTGGGCCCCGTCGCGCCCCTCCCAGGCCCCGTCGCGCCCCTCCTAGGCCCCGTAGCGCCCCTCCTGGGCCCGTCGCGCCCTCCCTGGGCCCTGTAGCGCCCCTCCTGGGCCCCGTCGCGCCCCTCCCAGGCCCCGTCGCGCCCCTCCTAGGCCCCGTAGCGCCCCTCCTGGGCCTTGTCGCGCCCCTCCTGGGCATCGTAGCGCCCCTCCTGGGCCCCGTCGCGCCCCTCCTGGGCCCCTGTAGCGCCCCTCCTGGGCCCCCGTCGTGCCCCTCCTGGGCCCCGTAGCGCCCCTCCTGGGCCGCGTCGAGCCCCCCCCCTCCTGGGCCCCGTCACGCCTTCAGGCCCCGTCGCGCTCGCCCGGCCCCGTCGCCCCAGCCCGGCCCCGTCGCACCAGCCCGGCCCTGTCGCACCAGCCCGGCCCTGTCACGCCCGCCCGGCCCCGCTGCACTCGCCCGGCCCAGTCGCCCCCTTCCCGGCCCCGTTGCGTCCGCCCAGCCCCGGTGCGCCCCTCCTGGGCCACCGTCCTGCTCGCCCGGCCCCGTCGGACCGGCCCGGCATTGTTGCCCCAGCCCGGCCCCGACGCACCCGCCTGGCCCCGTCGCACCAGCCCGGCCCCGTCGCGCCCGCCCGGCCCCGTTGCACCGGCCCGGCCCCTGCGCTCGTCCCTGCCCCGGTCCTCCTCACTGGTACGGTTCCCCCCCCCCCCCCCCCCCTGCCCTGCACTGCCCTGCACCGTACTGCCCCGCACTGCACCGCCCCGCACCACCCTGTACTGCCTGGCACCGCACTGCACCGCCCTACACCGCACTGCACCGCACTGCATCGCACTGTACCGCACGGCACCGCACTCCACCTTGCTGCACTGCCCTGCACCGCACTGCACTGTTCCTGATGGCGGCGGAGCTTCGCTTCGACGCTGAAGGCCAGCCTCTGGAGTTCGAGGCGTGGCTTGCCGACCTCCGTCGCCAACTCACTGGCCAGCGGCAGGATGGTGAACCGCTTTCCGCACACCTTGACGGTACGCTCCCCTGCCCAGACCCCCCTGCTATTCTGCCCGCTGACTCCACACCCACTGAGCACGAGTCCACTGCTGCCACTGCCCGTGCGCGCTCTGTCTGGCTTTCTCGCGATGCTGTCGCCCAGCTTGCCATCAGCAACGCCCTTCCCCCGTCCGAGCGCCCTCGCTTTAGGTCTCTCACCACTGCTCAGGCATGCTTAGATGCTGTCATCCAGCGCTATTCCACCCCTCCGGCTGCCTCGGTGGGTCGCCTGATCCTCCCGATGCTCTTTCCTGACCTTGCATCTTTCCCCACTGTCTCTGTGAGAGTACGACCCCGTTACACCACTTGTCCCATTCTTATCTCCTTCCTATTTCATTCTTCATTTTATCTCATCTCACTTGGTTTCCTATTCTCCATTCTTCCATTATCCTTTGGTTGATCCTGCTATTATAATTATATCACCGACCAGGCTTGGGATGTACTGGCACATTATCCAGCGTAATCCTGCCGTAATCCCTTAAAGCCAATGGCCTCGCGCGGCTATACACAGGGTGATTCTATATTCTAGAAGGGTCTATTCCTTTGGATAGGATAAACCTGGTTACCTGATGTACTCTGGACGTATAAAAGCACCTTGTACTGATCGATAGTGCAATCGATCCTCGAGTCATTCGATCCTGTGACAGTCTCTGACCTCGCTGCCCACATGCGCTCGATAGATGAGACCTGGCGTGCAGCCTGCACTGATGCACAGCTTAGAGCCCACCAGCCGCCTATTACTTCTACCCTCTACCTGCTTGCCACCCGCCTCCCTGACCGCCTTGCTGTCGCCCGCGACCGCTTCCTTAGCATTCACCCCGCAGACCTCACCCTCACTGACTTTGTAGACACCCTGACTGTGATAGAGACCCGTCACCGCTCCATCGCCCAGGCGAGCGGTGTCGTGCCGGTCCCTATCTTTCAGGGTTGTGCCCCCGCCCAGTGTACCTTCTCCGGCAGCTCTGCCACAGTGGCTGAGACTGCTGCTGCAGCGCAGTTTCGTTCGGGGAAGGGCCGCCGCCCCAAGGTTGGGCGCAGCGGCGGCGGCGGCGACGGTGCGGGAGGGGGTAGTGGTGGGCTCGGGTCGTCTGGTGCTGGAGCGGACGAGGGGACCCTGCGCAGTCCAACTGAGCCGCTGCCCCTGCAGTTGCAGCAGCCGCAGCAGCCGCCGCAGTCGCAGCCTTCGCAGCAGCCGCAGCAGCCGTCGCAGACGCGGCAGACGAGTGTCCTCCCGCCCGGGTGGCCCGGCGCTAGCGGTGGCCGGGCGCGTGGTGGTGTGCCGAGTGGTGGCTCTGGTGGCGGGCGTTGTCAGTACCAGATCGAGACCGGTCCTCGCCGCGGGTTCGTTTGCGGTAGGCTCGATCACTCCTCTCCCCGCTGTTTTCGTCGCCTGGACGACCTCTTTTGTCAGCGCTTCGGCCCGTCGCCAGACCTCCCGGACTGGCATAGTTTGCTTAGTCGTAAGATTCAGATTTTTGATATGGACATGGATGCCATTGTTGCTGCTCTGCATGTGATGTATGCTGATGACTCTAGTGTGCTTCCCGCTTATTACTCACTGTTGCCTAGTGTAGGTGTGCCTAGCTTATCCTCCCCTGCTGCGTCAGGCGTAGGATCCCCTGCTTTGTGTAGTCTTGGTGCTTCCGCCGTCGTTCCGTTGCCAGACGCCTCTGCTTCGCTTTCCTTCACCTTGGACTCTGGCGCTTCTCGGTGTTTCTTCCGCGACTCTACCACCCTGACGCCGCTTCCTGTCCCAGCTGCCGTCTCTCTTGCTGACCCCTCCGGCGGTCCGGTCGTCGCTCGCAGTTCCACCACCCTTCCCTGTTCGGCGGTTCCTTCGGGCTCTCTCACAGGTCTGCATATCCCCTCGTTCTCCAGGAACCTAGTCGGTGTTGGCTGCCTCCAGGACCTTGGCGTCACCACTACGTTCCCTGGTCACGAGCGGTATGCTGTCTGTACCGAGGCCGCCACTGGTGCCCCCCTGTCCACGTTCCCCCGGGACCCGGTGTCCGGCCTGTTCACTCTGGACACCGTGACCCCCCCGGCTGGGGCGCCTCCTCAGGTGGCTGCATCTACCCAGGTTGCTGCTGCCTGCTCCTGTCGGTCCCTCACTCACCCGACTCTCCTTTGGCACCACCGCCTAGGTCACCCTGCGCTCCCCGTCTGCGTCACATGTCCCAGCACTGTCTTGTCCTTGGTCTCCCAGGTTCCCTACCCGCGTTTCCCTCCTCCCCAGCCCCACCTTACACGCCTTGTGTTGAGGGTCGGCTTCGCCGTGCCCCGCACTCCTCCGGCACGGACAAGCTCACTGCCCGCACCCTTCCCTGCGTCTTCCTCGGCTTTCCCCTTGACGCGTCCGAGTAGCACTTTTACCACCCGCCGTCTCACCGCTTCTTTCACTCTCGTGACGTCACCTTTGACGAGTCCGTCTCCTACTACCGTCGCTTCCCCCACCGTGGTCCCCCGGTTACCCCCCCCCCTGTTCCTGGTCACTCCTTCCCCGGTAGTCCCTGCCCCTCCTCCTCCTCCTCCCCGTCCCGCCCCCTCT